TGGGAAACAAACTGAATTCACCTGTATGATAGAGTCAAATTCCTCCAGACAAATATTGAACATTTATTTCAAGAGCTCTGTTGGTGTTTTCAACAGCTGCTGTCACTGTGAGTAATGAGACTAGTCACCGGTTAACACGGTCACTCTTTAAACCATAACATCAGTAGTGCAGTTGTGCCCATGCTTCACGGAAGTCTCACCAAACTTTTAAAGTAGGCCTTGTAGATCTAATATGAGCGAGATTCAGCAACTGAATTGCTAATTTCCTGCCAAAAACTTGTTAAAAAATCCAGAATTTGGTGGACTCCTGAGGTGATATAAGTTAAAGTTTACTCAGCTTAATCCATAAGGAAGTCTACTACTCATGCTCAGACCCCATTGGCTCACAGAACTAGGGTCTTCAGGAGGGAGGACTGCAGTTGGACCCTTCTCATGGCTCTACAGAAACCTATGGGTGGCGTCACAGAGTCCATTTTTGATTATACACTGATAGAGAGAAGAGAAATAACGGGTGGCTGTGGCTCAGAGGCAGAGTGGGTCGTCCCCCAATCGGAAGGTTTTGGTGTTTGATCCCCGGCTCCTCCTTGCCACGAGTCGAAGTATCCTTGAGCAAGACACTGAACTGCAAATATACATAGCATCTGTGTGTGTGTGTGGTCCAGAAACAATTTCTAAAACAAAGTTATTGTTTATTATTTTAAAATGATATAAAAGAAAGGACAGCATATCTTTATGTGCAGATTAATTTCTTGCCTAATATTGACAAATGTGAAACCACATATGTTTCCTTCATCTGCACTAATGCTAATGCATATATAAAAAAAACATGCAGCATTAAAACTAGAAAGTGTTCTTCAGTGTTCTAAAGTAAAATTAATGATTAACTGACATTATCACACAACCCCCCCCCCTCCCCATTTTCCTAGCTGAAACCTTTACCCCTGTGAAGGGACAGTCCCTGATCACTGCACTGCTTATACTAACAAATGTCTTTATACTGATGCACCAGCGATACGTAACACCAATGCTGTGCCAACACAGAATACACGATATCACTCACCAATATACACCAAAGGAATGCTTGTGTATACACGCAAACACACACCTACCAGCTGGTTAAGATCAAATTTCATGGGAAGTTCAGTGCCTGCACTGGGTGTTAAACGGAACAATCGCATAGTCAACTGCATTCTTGCATGAGATACAAATGTGACAGAGGCAGAAAAGTTCTCGCTGCTTAAATGTGAAAAGGCCAGAGGGATGGATTAGACAGTAGTGAAAGTAAAGCGGAAAAAGAGTGGCCCAGCAATGACTTTTTCATATTTATGTAGGTTAAACTTAGTTTCACTACAGGTCACTGACTGCAGCTCTGCTACAGCGTCTTTTCATGTGGTTTTAGATTAATGTCAAAAGTAAGCTGTGTGTTTAATACAGGTTTAACATATTCAATATTTACAAATCAAAACAGATGTTCGTGGAAACAGGATTTTGATGAAACTTAAAGCAAATGAAGGCAAAAAGAGAGCTGGGTTGCACGTAGTCCTGCACATTCACAAACCAAAATCATAATAGTCTTTCTGTCACAGCAAAAATAGAAACAACACACACACACACACACACACACACACAGAAAAATTAATCAAAAGAACATGCTTACAGATTAGGTGTGCTAACTCATTTTGCATTAACACTTAATATAATGAGTAATGTGAAAGGCTTGCTAGTAAAGCCACAACAGCATTTCCCAACTCTGTACTCTGTGCATGTTTTTTTTTTTTGCCTTTTAGCCACCATTTCTTGTTTTTACAACACATTTACTCTCAGCACTCAACATCTGTTTTTAGCTAAAAAATGACCCACCCAGCACCAAATGGCAGACAAAATCAAAAACTAGCTGGCAAAGAAAATCAAACACACACAGCTAAAGAGACAGATATTGTTCTCCGAAGTTGTTAAAGAGTCGTGAAAACGTGCCTCACTGCAAGATACGCTAGACAACCAATCAGAGGTGAAAGAGATGGGTGACTGTTGAGTCTCATTCCCAGAGCGTCACATAGAGACACTTTGGGACTCTACAATTATCTACAAGCTTCCAACCCAAAGTGTCTATTATCATTCTCAGTTCTGATTGGTTGTTTTCGTTCAGGCCCGGTGGATTCTTGCAAATGCCATTAGGAGCACTTGGAGGAGCCTGATTGTTTCACACAACTATCTGTCTCATGTAACTACTGTCAGGATATAGTGAAAGTTTCAGCAGGATATGACAAAAAGTTATTATTATATAAAATTTACCAACTTGCAGCTTTAAGATCCAGACGATCCGATGACTAAATCGTCATTCCGGTTCAAATCTAGGAGTTAAAAGCACCAAGCCCCTAAACATGGATTGGTCAAAAATGTGGCTTCAGACTGGATAAAAAGTCAATGTAGGACAGCTTCTGACGACAACCACAAACGCTGACGCAGGACACAAAGCGGGATTACGACGCCACTGACAAGGACTTGGAAACGCAGCGTACCCTGAATTAAAATTGACAGATATCGAATGAGTTTTGAACATTTGTTTGAAACATTTGGGATAATGTCAGTAACACAACTTTAACTACATATAGGAACATAGAGCTAGAGTTTATTACACGTTATGGATTATAGATTAATTGATTGGAATCAACTACATATAGAACATAGAGCTAGAGTTTAATTACAGCGTTTTAATGATTATAGATTATTAATTGAATTCAAACTACATATAGAACATAGAGCTAGAGTTTATACACTGTTTAGTGATTATAGAGTATTGATTGAATCAACTACATATAGAAGATAGCTCTAGAGTTTATAGACATTTTAATGTGGAAATGTTCCATATAATAGCTTTAAAGTGACAGTTCACCCCAAACACAAAAATATACTTTTTATATTTAAAGCAGAAATAGTTCCTACATGAAACTGCTCACAAGCCGAGTGCCATCTAGTTTCATAATATTGGAGAGAAGTTTGACATCTCTACGGCTGATACCTCCAAAACTCACATCAAAACAATCTAGACAGATAAAAAGCACTACAGGTAAGATTATTATAAGAGTAAGAATAATATTTTGGGGTGAACAGTCCCTCACTGCTATCACTGTATGAATGTGTGCGGATGGGTGAATGTGGCATGTAGTGTTAAAGCACTTTGAGTGGTTGAAAGACTAGAAAGGCGCTATATAAGTACAGTCCATTTACCATTTACTGTTTTCATTAGTTAAGGACATGAAAACATTTAAAAATGACCACTGTTAATTTTTAGCTAACTATTTAGACATTCAGAGTTCCTTGTTTGTTAGCAATACCAAACAGCACTGTTAGACTACCTTTCTCAGAAAAAGTCTCCTGTTACTTGGAGCACAGTTGGTGGTTTTAGTGCTGACTGTGGCTGTAAAACCTTTGCAAAACTGTTATTGACAGCACCATGCTCAAATGGATCAAGTCAGGCTCCAGAGACATGTCAAGCACCCCTAATGTTTTGTCCAATCCCTTTCTATCAATACAGATAAAAAAGATCTCTGCGCAACATCTAAACAGCAAACTGCAGCCTCCGAATTGACCATGAAGCACCTTTCTACAACAGTTTTTCCACAGAAACTAAACATGTTAACCTTTATAAAGGTAGAATTTGTCACAGAACTGTTAAATGGACTTAATCAATTCAAGAATATTGTTAAGTTTTATCACAAATCAAGCAAAATGGTGCTACATATAGGCTCAATATATGCCCTTTTTGTTGAAACCATAAACAATACAAATGTTCTCTGTAACTCTGGTGACAAAAGGGTGCAGAGAGCTGCTTGTGAACTCGGTTAGGGTAACTTTTTCCTTATTCATGAGCTTTCAAATGGTTACAAACCGTCGTAATGAGCACCAAGCACCCCTAATGTTTTGTCTAATACTTTTCTATCAATACAGATAGAAAAAGATCTCAGCATAACAGCAAACTGCAGCCTCTAAAATTAGCATAAAATTAAATTATCACCTTCTTGTTTCCAGTTTCTACAAAAATTGACCATGTGAACCTTCATAAAGGTTGGATCTGTAGCAGAACTTTAAAATTGACTTTTTAAAATAATAAGTTTTAGTATTAGTATTGTGACATTTTATTACAAATTAAGCAACATGTGGGCTACTCAACATAAGCCCTTTATGTTAAAACTATAAAAACTAAAAAAGTTCTATGTAAGTGTGGGCACACAAGGATGCAGAGAGCTGCTTGTGAACTTGGTTTGGGTAACTTTTTCCTTATTTATGAGCTCTGAAATGGTTCCTAATCACCCCAATGAGCACCAAATAGGCCTCTTCATTACTCGGCTACCACATAAGAGAATAGCTGGCAGGTGGAGCATTGAACCGGCAGCTGTGTGTGCAGTTGGAGCCGGTGTGGAACCGATGGAACCGGTGTGGAGCCGGTGGAACAGGTGTGGAACGGGACGGACTCCATGCTGAGAGCTGCACAGAGCCGCCTGGTCAGACTCATCCTCTGCAGCCCAGCACACAGGCTGCCAGTAAAAAGCGGATTTCCCCTCTTCTCACTTTACTGTTACACCACAGCCACTTTATCACGGACTCAAACAACAAAAACACATTGTAAGAAAGTAAAAGACTTACCTTACAAGTGAAATCGACTCTGTTCAGCTCCGCAACGTTGGCGCTCGTTTTCTATCTGATCATGATTTGAAGGTTATGAAATGAAGCCGGAGAGGATGTAGAGTGTTGACAAAAAGGCCAGCCGCAAAACGGTCAGTTCCTCTATCTGTGTGTACAAGGAAGTAAAAGTTAACTTGCATTATAGGCATAGCCTGCAAGTTTTAAAAAAAAAAAAAAAAAAGGCCGGAAGCAAGGACGGTATCTATGCAAACTACACTGTGCAAGTGGCATCGGGTTATGAGCTGCCACTGTGCGGATGAACAGCTAGTTTTTTCACAATAAATGGTTTGGACTCATCTTTATTGAGTTATTTGTTTTTTTATTTGTTTTTTTACTGCATGTGGGACACAGTCCGCTCTCTCTGTAAACACAATCCATCAACATGTGTTAGACAGCCGTTTCTCACAGTGTGCACAAGGTCCTGTTCATCCTCTGAGGACAGTCCCACTTACACAGTGAGAGGGACAGAAGAGTGTGTTTTTAACTCTGATCTGTAATCGTGGCGGTTTAACAGTGGAATGTCCTATATTTCACTAAAAGTAGTACCATCCAGGGGCGGATCTATTCATGGGGTGTCCAGAGTGGCATGGAGATTTAAAGGGGTGGCAGAAATATACACTGATTTAATTGCAATCATCAGTATTTGCTTGGAAAAGCCCCCAAATTAAGATATCGTGGCACATTAGTAAAGCACTGAATGGAAATATCTTAAGGTGGCATTAGAAATCAATACATTGTTTTATTTCCAAATCTTCATTTTTGCAAATACAAAGTCTAAAATGTGCCCAAAACAGATTATTACATGAACTGACATTTGCTAAATTTGACAATGTTTTACACCAAACTGGGGTGGCAGATGTGTATACATACTCCAGTGATTCCCAACCTGGGGGTCGGGACCCCCATTAGGGTTCACCAAAGCTTCACAAGGGGTCGTGAGGCCTTCTTGATTTTAAGGGGTGTCAGAAAGTGTAAAAAATATACACCGCAGGCCTGTATCTCAGCATCACATTTAATTCTGTGAAGAAAGATTGGGAACCACTGATTTAGAATCTGATAATAAAACTGTAGGGGGTCTGTGACATGTGAAAAGATTGAGAACTGTTCTGAAAAAGTTTAAATAAGAATCCTCAGAACAGCAAATAAAAAAGAATTAAAGGTCCAGTGTGTAGGATTTGCCATCTAGTGGTGAGATTGCAGATTGCAACCTACTGAAACCCCTTGCGTGTATGAAACTACGGTGGCTGTGAAACTTGCAAAAAAAATGTGCCCTATGTAGAGCCACTGTTTGGTTTGTCCATTCAATTCAATTCAATTCA